CCAGGGCTGCTCCCGGGCCCTCCTCCCCTCAGGGGCCCCGGGCCCGCCCTGAGGGACTCTCGTTCTGGTCTCTGGGCCGAAACAGTGCCGACCTTCGTGTGCTTTGATTTTATTTTTTTTTTTCCCCCAAAGTGTCTTGTATCGCTTTTGTCCAGCAGCGTTTGGCCGTAGCGAGTGCCGGGGTAGGTGCAGGGGGAGCTGCCGGGGCGCAGGTGCCGGGCGGCTGCTGTTCTCGGGACAGGCGAGTTTCAGACACAGCTGTAATCGGTACAATGAAACCGTGCCTTTTTTAAGGATAAAAAACACCAGTCAGCGTAGCCAATGGGTTATTTCCCTGTAGCTGTCTATTCACCCTGTTATTAATAAATCACTTCAGTGTGTTGCTCTCCAAAGATGTCTCCTTCGTGAGACAAGGAAAGCGGTGTGAGCTGTGGTGTGGGTTTGCTAGTTACGTGCTTCGTTTATAGTTTAAGAAAAATCTGTACTATGATCAGAGAGCTGTCTGAAAATTCCATACCTCTCTGTATGTGATGGTGTGAGGCATCAGTTAAATGTCTTTACTGCCCCAGGTTCTGCAGTTCTTAAGAACTCAGTGATGCAGTGGTATTTGTAATGATATTACCATAACAATTGTGGTAGAAAGCATAATTGTTATACAATACACTTACTTTGTATTTTTCAGCAGAGAAAAATGTTCTAATATGGTTTAGTTTTAGTAGCAGTCTGTATTCTGCTAGTGGCAAACTATTAAATTGTTTCTTATATTAATCTTTCTGGTTTTCTTTTTAGCTGTAGCTTGAGTTAAAGTGGGCTGAAGCTCCTGAAGCCTCATAATGATGCCCTTATCTTTTGAAGTGTAATTGGACTCCTTTTTTCTACTTACTAATTCCATAGGGTTTAGTTTCCAGGTGTTTACAGAAAAAATGTACAACGTCAACGTTTTGTGCCTCCCCAGATTGTCCTCGGTCTCAAGTTATTTTTTTCTCGCAGTCACTGTATTGCAGCATCTAAGATAATGTACATTTTTCTGATTTTAGTAATACTTCACATCTCTTTATTATCACCTGAGGCTCTTGAGATTATTAATATGGGGTTGAAAGTACTCCCCCTATCCCAGAGTGTGTAGTCCCACCCACAGATGAGGACTCCAGGAAGTAATGTCAGGGATTGCTTTTGGTGATGTGGCAAAAAGTGTTCTGTTTAGAATCCAATTTATTTTGTTTGGTTTATATCTTGAAGTGAACTGTAAAGCTTAGTTGAGCTTAACTGAAAAGAAAAAGATCTTAAGTTGGTAGCAGAAGCATGTACTGAAAAATAATTACCTTGGTTATTTTTTTTTTACCTGAGTTCAGAATCCTGGCCCCTTTACTATGCAGTTTTGCTCACAGGTAAAATTTTCTGTGACTTTTCTGTGACTGCTAAGCTCTTCATGTTCAACAGACAGATAAACTTGAATAATTCTAGCAGTGAGCAGTGCTTTGGTTTAGGTACTTACGGAAGAGTTTTTTGTCTGTAACCACTCGTGTCCTGGACTTAAACTTCTTCACTGTCTCATTATTCAGTTTTTAAAAATCCTAAGCAGCTTTAAAAAATATATTTATTTTGGTTTTGTTCTTTGCCTTTAGAAACTGAGGTGACAGGAGGGTGGTGCTGCAGTTCGTATCTCAATGCTTAGATGTTATAACTCAGCTCCTCCCTTCTCAAAGTGAAGATGTCTAACAAGGCTCATTCCCGCGTTTCTCTGTGGACTTGTTTTTGCCTCCCTAACATGGATTGGATCCTGTCTTGCCTTTATAAAACACCTTGTTCTTTGCTTTCTTGACAATTTCTTTTGGAATAAATGTCCTCTGTTTAAGAACACTTTGCTAAAAATAATTTGTTTCAAACAGGAAAATCCAAAAGAGTATCATGTGTAAATGCTGGTTCAGATAATGTACTGTAAAGCTTCACTGAGCTTACATTTTCTTTTAAATGTCACTTAGGTATCATGTTTTGTTTCCACAGCAACCATGTCAGAAGGGGACAGTATTGGTGAGTCTGTGCATGGAAAGCCTTCTGTGGTCTATAGATTTTTCTCCAGACTTGGACAGGTTGGTTTTCTGTAGGGTTTTTCTGACTCCATTAGAAACAGGTCTCAGTGCAGCTTCTTAAACTCATTACTATTTGGATGAGTTGTTAAAATACTAAAATCTGTGCAAAAGACTTCTTTTGAAGCCTTTTAAAAATAGATAGCAAATATTATACATAGCTTAATGGAATATTTAATTTGAGTTTATGTGACATTGCACAGTGAAAACATATGTTGTTATTGTTAAAAATGAGGAGTGACTTCAGATTTCATGTCAGATTCATCTTAAGGAAAGTAAACTTGCATAAAATATTGAAAATTTAAATTGCTTTATTGATGCACCAAGCATTAGGAAATTTTTTTTTTGCCCTCGTAAAAATTTAAAACTTTTCAAATGCTTGTAAGTATATTTATGTTTAATGAAGTTTATTTGTAACTAAGAATACAAATGTTTCACATTACTCTCCTTCCCAAAATACTCTTCACAAATGCTTACCGTTTCTAATGCTATCCCGTAATTGTAGGTCATGTATTTTACAGATGTACACCTTATATTTCTTCCTAGATCTACCAGTCCTGGTTAGACAAATCTACTCCATATACTGCAGTGCGATGGATTGTAACTTTGGGTCTGAGTTTCATCTACATGATTAGAGTTTATTTACTGCAGGTAAGAAAACTGGATTTACTGCTAAAGTAGTTTTAGAAATCATTACTGTTCTATTTTTTTGTGTTAAGAGAGTGTTTGAAGTATGGTGTTACTTTGGAATTACCTATGGTGTCATGGAGCACGCAGTAGAAGGTAAATTAATCTGAAGAAAGAACACATCTTGTTGGTGCTAAACTTACTGCTTTCAAATGGAGAATGTGCAGATGCTTGAGGATATTCACCTGATGGCAACAGAAAGTGGAAATACTCCATTAGTTCTGATGAAATGACATAATAAAGCTCTGAAAGCTCTGTTGCAATTGAGTTTTTATTTTTAAAGCTGTGTAACAACGTGTTCAGGAGCTAGTGGTTACACCTCCATCTTGATGATGTAGATGTCTGCATCTCGAACGTAGAAACCAAATGCCTGAGAAAAGCTTGCGTATTAAATCCATCAGTACATGAGGGGTTTGCACTTCTCTCATGTTCTAAGACTTGTTTGGATAAATATTAAGTTTACAGTACTGTACCTTAGAAAACATGTAGCTTAAAAAGGTTAAGTTTTTTAATCTTGCTTATTTGTATTGCAGTAAGTTTAATCAGTATTTATGTGGCTTTAAATTAAAACTGTTACATATGTTATGTCAGTACACAAATAAAGATTCATAAAGGAGATTTCATCTTTTCAGAGTTAGAATGCTTATTTTATACAGTGAGAATTTTTAATATTTTTTTTTATCAAGTCCAGAAAACTTTGTGTTAATGTGAAGATATAGAAAAGCATTTCTCAAGGAGTCAAACAAACCAGGTGGTTTGATCTTGTTGAAAAATCAGTATCGGAAAATGGTTTTCAGGAAGACTCTAATCTTGGCTCTCTTTTCCTCCCCCCTTCAGGGTTGGTACATTGTGACATATGCCTTGGGAATCTACCATCTAAATCTCTTCATAGCTTTCTTGTCGCCAAAGGTAGACCCCTCCTTAATGGAAGATTCAGGTATGATGAATAGTTCGATTTGTGATGATTTTGAACTGTAATTGGACTCTATGTGTAACAATGAAAGGTGGTGGGGGTTTTTTTGTTTGTTTTTTAAGATAATTTTTAAAAAATCAGGAGTCTGAACAGTGTGGAAAACTAGTGTGAGGGGGTTTGTGGTTTTTGCTTTTTTCTTATGTTTTTTTCAGATGATGGTCCTTCCTTACCTACAAGGCAAAATGAAGAATTTCGGCCTTTCATTAGAAGGCTCCCAGAGTTTAAATTCTGGTGAGTGGATTTGTCTGCTTGTGCTCTGTTTTTGAAAAATACAAATATCTGCATCAAATTAGTGGTAGCTGGGGTTGAAGCATTAATTCATTGTTAATATTATTTTTAAGGCACTCTGCCACTAAAGGAATCCTGGTTGCTATGGCATGTACATTCTTCGAGGCTTTCAACGTTCCTGTTTTTTGGCCAATCCTTGTGATGTACTTCATTATGCTATTTTGTATCACTATGAAGAGGCAAATCAAGGTAACTTGCCAAGAATAGATGGTAGCATTTGTGATGTCAGAGCTTACAGTATTGATCCAAACTGTCCATCCAGTTGAGCACTTCAGAAGTATTAAATGTATTGCACACACTTCTTCACTAGAGGAACTTGAACAACTAGCACTTGAACGTTACAAAATTTTATGCATGCTTTGAAAAGGTTTTGATCTTAGAATTCAACATCTGGTTTTTATACAGGATGAGTCTTGTAATTTCTCATCCACTTCCTTTCTTCAGTTAACTGTGGCTATTTTTAATGAAGGGGTCTTGTAGTATCTCTGATGGGTGAAAAGGGAAGTTCTGACAAGTTAATGCAAGAAAGTAGGTGGAGAGAAGGGGAAGAACATAGGCAAGTCGTTCAGACCATTTTTAACAAATTACTTATGGATTATTGGCATTTCAAAAGGAGAACCATTTTTCCCAGGCATTCAGAATTTTGGATAGGTACTGTTATTCAAAATTGTAAAATAAAGATTATGGGGTAGTAAGGAATTAATACCTGTATGCTCCCTCCAATTTCCTGTGATCCCCCAATCAGTACTTCACTGTGCTCTGTAAATTGTTGGGTATACTCAGATTTGAGATGTATCAGATTGGGCTCACACTCCTATTTTGATGTAAACGGGTATATCATTAGCTATTTCATTACCTTTACAATACTGAAGAACTGTCTTTCTAGAGAACTTTGTAATTTACAATGTGTATTATAAAACATTTTTGTAAATATTAGGTAAGTTTCTTGCCTCAAAAAACTATCTTTTCTCTTTACAGCACATGATAAAGTACAGATATATACCCTTCACACATGGCAAGAGGAAATACAAAGGGAAAGAAGATGTGGGAAAGACCTTTGCTAGCTAGAAGATGCAATCAACCTGTTGACCAATTCTGCTTCTAACTAAAGGAATGATTTTGAGCCATTGTAACAATGCCTTTTTTCTTCATAAAAAATGATTAACAGAGTGGTGACAAAGCAGTTGAATTTTCATTATAAGAGGATCTTGCTCTTTTTATCTGAAATATCAGTTTCTTGAAGAAACTGGCATTCTAACCAAATTGCATTGAGTTTGGTATCTTTTGTAAGAAGTTGGAGAATCACAGAATCCCTGGATGTTAGAGATTGGAAGGGACCTCGAAAGCTCATCTAGTCCAATCCCCCTGCTGGAGCAGGAACACCTAGATCACCTCCCACAGGAACACATCCAGGCGGGTTTTGAATGTCTCCAGAGAAGGAGACTCCACACCCTCTCTGGGCAGCCTGTTCCAGTGCTCTGTCATCCTCACCGGAAAGAAGTTTTTTCTCATATTCAAGTGGAACCTCCTATGTTCCAGCTTGAACCCATTGCCCCTTGTCCTGTCCCTGGATGTCACAGAGAAGAGCCTGGCTCCATCCTCCTGACACTCACCCTTTAAATATTTATAAACATTCATTAGGTCACCCCTCAGTCTCCTCCCAGCTCCCTCAGCCTTTCCTCATAAGGGAGATGCCCCATTCCCTTCATCATCTTTGTGGAAGAGAAACTTTGGATAATCCCGTGGATTTGGGATAATGTATTTCTTTCAATATCCATTGCACTGGAGAGATTCATGGCTTAGAGTTGGATATTTTTACATAGTTCTCCTGCTCAATATCACCCTGAAGTGCTGTGCACATATGTGGAGGAAAAGCGTAAGATGGCACACATGATGCTGTTTTCTGCTTCATGGCCATGTGCTGTTTTCATAGAAAAACGCATTAGACTTAAATAGATGCAGAACTTAAGCCAGTTTTCTAAATGCATGGTATTACTGAGTTATAACCAAACAAATATAGATAGGAATAAGAAATTACTAAATTACGGGGTTGCAGTAGGGGAAAAAAAATATAGCTTCTGAAGTAACTCATTTGTGTTGGGTTTTAATGCCAGTTTCACCATTCCATCTCCTAACATGCTAAAATTGGGCTCTTTCATGATGACTCTTAAGTTTTGTTCAAACTATTACAACTTCCTTTGAGGACCTGGAATTATAAATATATATATATATTTTAATTGTTATTAGTTGGAGTTTCTTTCATACTTAAGGTTTTCTTGATTAATTTAAGATGACTTCATGCAGCCCCTTCAGAATATACCCAAACTGGCCACAGCAAACAAACGGTATGGGTTTTAACAGGGCTTCTCATTTCTATGGGAAAAAAAAAAAAAAAAAAAAGAGATAAATGACCTGCATGTAAACTTTTTCATGTGATACAACTGCAGTTTTATTAAGTGACTTTTTAATTCCAAAATTTATTAAAAGACAGTGTCCCCCTTTACTTGTTCTCTATCTTTATATACATGTATTGATCTAACAGTATTTATGGTTTCTTTACAATAACGGTTACCCTCAATTTATCTTCATGCAATGCCTTTTTCAACTCTTCAGGGAGCATTCACTTGCAGAAAGTAGGAAAAGATTAGCTCTTTGAAGATTCTGAATGGAGAGTAGTGGCAGCTTCAGCAGACACCTAATTGGAAAATGTATGTAGGAACGCTTTCGCCTGATTCTGTCAAATGAAGCCCGTATGGAGCTCTGGAATACAGCCTTCAGTAATCCTGGGAAAACGACAGGTAGTTTTAGTTCACATCGACCTGTTGGGGTTTTGTGTGTTTGTGTGTGTTTGTTTTGTTAGCAGTGTTGAAACTAGTATAGTCAAGATTTAAAATTATGGAAACACAGTTCCCAAGAGGGCCTTATAGAAGTACCAGTCATGGATGCTTGCAGTTTGTTGCTTAAAAATCTGAAAGCCCTGACTTGGAGAAGCTGTCTTCAGGTTTGCTGGAGTTTCTGAATAATATGGGCAAATCAAGGAGAAAAACGTTATGTTTATTAATGTTAAAATTAGCAACTGGGATGACTCCTACTAAACAATACAGTGTTAATGATAGTCATTGCAAATTAGACATTTTTACTTCCAATTAATTTCAAACTTGAGTGGCAGCTTGAGATTAATGCCTTTTCATTCTTGGGTATTCCTAGATGCTCTACGTTCAGTGGGATTAACAGTTTTCAAGTGTGGATTGTAGATGATGTTGAGACGATGGTATAGTTCCCTAGCTGACTCTCTGCATAAACCGGCCAGAGAAGTTTGATGGCATTTTGTTAAATTTTTCTCTGTTTTTATCATTTACAGTGCTAAAAATAAATTACCCTTACAGAATGCATGAAAAACTTGGCTTGACAACTTCACAGATACTTCCCAGTCATGGTCTGCTTCCTATTTGTGTTTATGTGCAACTGAATGTTTTTCCTTACTATTTTCTCAGTAAGATCAGGCGATGATTTCCCCAGGTAGTCACGTTCTGATTTGTGATATGGACCGTATTTTTTCTTCCACTGTTGCCTTGAGTTTTAAATAGGTGAGGGATGCCTGAAAGTTTTCAGGTGTAAGAAAGGGTTGGTATTGCAGCTGTGAAAATCCCTTTTGTACAGGAATGATGAAGTGTCCACATAGTTACCAGCAACTGTTTTTTACAGTTGATAGTGACGTAGATAGATCAGTTTCTGAGGATGAAACTTCTCTCTGCACAGTGGACATTCTGTCTACAAAAAGAAGATAAATTAGACATACTGAATTGCTGTATTTAAAAGTTAAAAAAAATCCCAAATATAACTTTAGCTACTTCCAGAAAATAATCAGCATCCATAATTAACCATTTTTCCAGTCCAGTTTGTGATGCAAGCTTAACCATGTAAAACATTCTATGATAGCCTAATTTAAAGAGCAACTTCAGGTAACATGGGAGCTTAAAATATGACCTTAAAACCACAGTCATTGTGCACAGCATACACCACCTTCACCTGGAAGTAACTTCTTCATCTTAAAGTGACCTCTCAGATTTTCACCTTCAAGGAAGAAGGCACTAAAGTGCCTTGGTGAGAGAAAGGGTATTATTTCAACACCCAGGCTGAGAGGTAGAAATTTCACCATGTTTACCCCCTCCAGCTTCCATTTGTCCTTCTGTACTTACTCTGGTGTTGCACCACTCTGTGATGCATTCCCAGCAGAACAGGTGGCCACAAGGTGTGGCTGTTGTGTGTCTCCGTTCTTCCAAACACAAAGTGCAGCGGGAGTGGTGCCCAGTAGTTCTTTCCTTGGTCATATTTCTAATTAACATAGTTATATATTAATTTTATTTAGCGTGCTTGTGAGAAATATTTAATAACACAATCCTAAAGTAAACCCCATCTTCAAGTATTAACCCTTTTTGTGACAATCTCAAAAACGTGCAAGCAAAGCATGAAATCTAAGAGAAACTTAAAACAGCCAGGAACGCATCAAACGTTACATTATATCAGGTTCTAACATAAGTTGAAGTGTCACTCCAGTGTTGTCCCTGTTCATGAAAGCTATTACATTCCCACCACTGCTTCCATCTCTTTCTTAGTAAGCAAAAATCATCATACTTCTGATGAGCTAGGTTGCGGTGTAGTTTCCATTCCTGCCTTGCTCTCTGCTTCTGTTTGAAGCTGTACATCTGAACACCAATTGTTAGAAGAAGATGGAAGAGTGAAATTATTCCAAGAAGCTTGTAACTCGTTCGAACGCTCTGATCTTCTCCTTGTGGTCCTCCAAAATGCAGCTACATAATTCACAGAAATAGAGATGTTTCGTTACTGTGGGTTTCTGAAAGTATGCTGCTTCCCCCCCACCCTATCAATAAACTCTTGAGCTGGGATTCTTATTTCACCTCTTTTCCACGTTGATGTTGGGAATTGCTGAGGAGTCTTCTGTCTATAGGCATTTCTGCGCCAGGGGCTGATTTTTTTGGGGGAAGATACTTACTGAAAAGACTATGTGAAATTAAGCTCTTCGTATAGAAAAATGCAATATAAATGTGTTCTGATTTTTGTTCAAAACTGTATTTCAGTATTTCCTGTGGATTTATTAAGCCACTTCAGACTTTTTGTGTCTTTGTAGAAGACTAGATAGTGTCCTGAAGTTATGTAAGTTACTAACTTCTGACGGTGTGTTCACATTCATTAGCTATAACTTTTCAACTGCAGGGACTTGTAACCCCTCCACACAGCATCAAAGTCTTCCCTGCCACCCAGTCAGCTCTGCCCGTATTACGACTGGCTACAGCCAGATGCTATATCCCTTTTACACACATGGCATCCCAAAAGAGGCCAAAATACCGCATCTTCAAACAAAAACACATCCACTTACATATCTGATTCCTGTGATTCTTTTAGACAGGTGATAAAAAGTGCCACTTATGTAGAATACTGCCAGATGTAGTCGATGAAGCAGAGGTACGCATTGTTTAAGGACATACACAATCTGTAGGACTGTTTTCTTCTGCTGTGCTGTAAGCTCCCCAACCTGTCTCTGTATCCAGTTTCGTATTAAGGTCCTGCTGGATAAGCCAAGCACTGGGTTGCTCTGCGAGGTTCTGGAGTCACCAGCTTCTGTCTGCAGCTCGTGTTCCAGATGCAGCAATCCCTTTTCTAAGCAATAGGGTACTACAGTATGAAGGGAAATTAAGATGGCCCGTCGAAGGAAGGAAGGAACCCTTTTCTTGGTTGAGTCGACTTGGACAATGTTAACGTACTCTTCACCCAGAGTCTGGTAACCTAAATAACGCGTGGAACAGAAGACAGGCAGGGTAAGATGGTAATTGCAGTATCATTCTCTGTGTGATTGAGAGCGGTGACAGGCTGCTCGGGTCAGCACACACCGGGGTCTGCAGGTTCAGAAACAGTTACTTTTTTTTTTTTTGTGTTGAATGAGGTGAGCGTTATGTTTACATCATCTGCAGCATCAGTTATCTGCAGTGGGTCTAGGCTTAAAGCAGGGATAGTTTTTCATAGTGTCATGCATCCCTTTTTGAAAAAGATCTTTTGCTTTTGAAAGAACATCTATCTGGATTGCTAAATGGCTGCGTTTTAACCCCAACTGGGGACAATTCAGTGCTTTCATATTTAATAAAAGCCATTTATAGAAAAACAAACTAACAAAGAAAATCCCTGTCACGCAGGCTCGTTCCAGGCAGCACCCAGGACACACAGCTCGTTTTTCAGTCAGAGAAATGCGAAAGAGAAGTTACCGGG